TAATCAGCAGATGATCATGAGTTGATTCATAAGTCAAAGTTTGGCCTCCAATACCGATTTCAGTCAGTGAGGGATAGAAATTGGAGGAAAGGGAAATCGTCAGGTGGTAAGGGAAAAGGGGATCTCTTTGATGATAGTAAAGATAGTTAACCACAGAGTAAAAAAGGAAACCATAGGGCAAAAGAGTAGTTAAAAATAGCTCACATATTTTCACTGCAACAAGTACAGCACCTGAAGTTGAAATGTTGTTGGTTTAGAAAAAGCATTGGGAAGATGGATCGGGGAAAAGAGGATAACATTTTGTTTTTTTTTTGAAGTGGTAAAAGTAAGCACAGCTAAAGTTAACAGCTGCAAGTGTATCTACAGCTTGGTTAGGGGTTAGTTGAAAAGAAAATGCCAGATCTCATTAAAGAACATACTTGTAAGGGTAAGGTTTACTCATATATGCTAGGAGGAACAGGTAGAGAAATTAAAGTTTTAAGAGATACGGCAGCAAGTCAATCTTTCATGGTGAGGGAAGAGGAGGTGTACAATTCAGGAGTATTGACAGAAAAACAGTGATAATATTTGGAATTCGTCATGAGAAGAGCAATGTTCCGTATTTTTAAGGTGTGGTTGCAGAATCTAGTGAAAAGCTGTGATGTAGTGGTCGGATCGGGAAAACAGGATAACCCAGTGAGTTTTTTTTTGACATAGTAAAGGTAAGCACAGCAGAAGTTATAAAAAAAAAACTGGAAGAGAATCTACAATCTGTTCAAGGGTCAGTTGAGAAGAAAATGCCAGATCTCTTTATAAAAAAAATACCTGTGAGGGTAAGGTTTACTCATATATTCCAGGAAGAGCAGATAAAGAAATTAAAGTTTTAAGAGATGCGAGGCATGTCAATCTTTCATGTTGACAGAAGAGAAGATATGCCATTCAGAAGGAGTGTTGACGAAAAAAAGAGTGAGAATACGTGGAATTCATCGTGAGAAGAGCAACAATCTTTTATTTACAGTGAGGTTGGAGAATCCAATGAAAAGCTGTGAAGGGGTGATGGAAGAACTTATCAGTTCCACCAAAGCAATTTATTCTTGGTAATGATATAACTGAATCACAGGTGGGAGTGATGCCTGCTGCGGTTGAAAAACTAATAGGAAATGAGGGAACTGAGGTATTACAAGATGCATATACGGGGATGTTTCCTGAGTGTGTGGAAACGGGGTCACAAAGCCACAGATTGAAATAGGAGGAGAAATCTAAGTGTAAAGGTAAGGAAAAACAAAAAGAAATGCAGATGCTGTAAGTCAAGAACAAAAACAAAGTTGCTGGAAAAACTCAGCAGGTCTGGCAGCATCTGTGAAGGAGAAAACAGAGTTAATGTTTCGGGTCCGGTTATTCTTTTCCATGTGCTAGTTGACAGCACTATTGACGATACACTTCCATCACTGAAGGGGTCGTTGATTAGACTGGGTTTGTCCTGCATTTTGCGTACAGAACAATGCTGATAAATTTTGCACATTACTCTTTGTCATTTAGCTCTATTAGATGGCAAGTAGCATTCGTGCCACACAAGGGTAAGACAGTATAAATCTGCATCAACAGATAAACGAATTACCATCCTTCACAATTCATCGCCATTCACATTATTTAATCCCCAACTATCAAAGTCCTGGTGGTAACAATTGTTCTAATCTGAAATCGACTAGCAATATTAATACTTCGGTGACAAGATAACGTTAACGAGGAGTGATTGTTAATCTACAAACGAGGCCAGGGCTTGTCAACGAATAACTCACTCGCTGAGCACCATCCTTTAAAGTCAGTCTATCATGGCAATACACGATTTAACACTGCGATGTAACATTTCCAACCTGCCTGGATAAGTGTAGGTCGAATAACACTCAAGAAGTTCGACATCATCTAGTACAGACAATCTCGTGGGATGGGCAGCATTTGCAGAAGCAGTCATTCTTTCCAACACACATACACAAAGGAATTTGTTACTGTTTTTAACCACAGTATTATTAACGGAAATATCATTTTTTACGTAAATTCTGGACTACTGTGATTGTCACAGCTGGCAAGTGCCACAAATTCTCGCTACATTGCAAAAATTCCAGTACATGTTCATTGTCAGTTTCTCTTATCTTCAGCATCATCTCAACTCCGATCAACAGAAAGTAGAACAGCTTCAATAATTAAGATATTCGATTACAGTTTTATTTTTGGTTTGGACAGTGCCGAGCAGGCCTGGGTTTGTGAACAGACAAGTTCGATATAAAACCGTGAAAGCAGGCAATCTACAAGGAAGTGGATGTGTTTATTTTCTTCACTTCATTGAAGACATCATTGCTTTAATGAAGAAATAACATAATCCCACCTATGTCATGGAATCATTCTTTCTTCCTCTGCATCTATCTTTCTTGCGTGATCTTTCTCTATATCGCACTCTGCTGCAAAGTAGATCTCAACTGAAACTGGTGACGTGAATTTGTGATGTGCAGGATGAACCCAAAATTAATGTCTCGTGTACAGCGGTGGTGTCCCTATCTCTCTGTCAGGAAGCCTGTGTTCAAGGCACCCCTGCCTCACAGGCATGTAATAGCATCTTTGAACAGATAGATTTTAAAACATATGAATCCAACACAACAGTACTTTGGGGAAAATGGGATATGATACACTGCGATTCAATGAGAAAACATGTTGCTGCAGGCATGTATTCTTCCTGACATAAATTCCAATAACCATTCCATAATCAAATATTTTCCGATCTTTCCACCCTCAGAACGAAATATGAAAACTTCGATCTGCAAGCCATGTATAGAATGTTAATGTTTGAGGGAAAGGATTTCAGTAATTTATGTGCGTTTCTCGTCAGAGATGAGATTGAATGCTTGAGAGGTGATGCATTTGAAGCACATTTAATTGTCAATAGGTCTTACAGGGTAGAGGCTGTGGAAGCTCAGAAGTCTAGTCTTTTTTTCCATAGATTCATAAAATTTGATAGAATCCCTACAGTGTGGAAACAGGCCCTTCTGCCCAACAAGTCCAGGCCGAGCTTCGGAGCTTCCCACCCAGACACATCTCCCAATAATGCATCTAATCTACACATCTCTGAACAATACGGGCAATTTAGCATGGTCAATCCACCTACTCTGCACACCTTTGAATTGTGGGAGAAAACCGGAACACCTACAGGAAACGCATGCAGACACGAGGAGAATGTGCAAACTCCATACAGATAGTCGCCTGAGAGTGGGATCGAACCCTGTTCCCTGGCGTTGTTAGACTTCATGCTAACCACTGAGCCGCCGTTTTTGAGTAGTAACTAAATCGGCAAGATTTCTTTTTGTTTGGAATATATAGGGACAGTTATTTGAAGGGAGATGACCATCCATGATCATATTGAATGATGCAACAAGCTCGAAACTTCGACTGACCTCCCATGTTCATAGTTGTTATATTCATATAAGATTGACTGTGAATTCTTAACCACCTAAAATAAAGGAGGTGAACTGAAAATTACACTGATCTGAAATATATGAGACAGCCGGCCCCCTTTTCTGATGGAAATATGGAACCAGAAAATGGAAAAAAAAAAAATCAAATCATGAACAGTTTTAATGAGGTGGATGTGGAACCATTTTCTTTTGCGGGTGAGTCTAGAACAAAGAGCAAGCACTCGCAGAACAGAATATATGGGGAAGTATGTTTCTGGACAGAAATGCATGAACTTTTGGTTCTCATTGAGATGTAGAGCGAGTGGAGAAGAAAAATGTTGGAGGAAGAAAATAGTAGGGAGATACAGGGCCACAAAGGCAAAATTTCACTGTTGGTAGAATGGGGGCTTGGATCTAGCTTTGAAGAAACACATGTCTGGTTCAAAGAATCTATCCTTAACCCGAAAATTGATTTTAATGCAAAACTCACGCAAAGATACCCTCAGTGTACACGGGACTGAATCAGTGGATGGGTTGTAGGGAATTGAAACTGTCAGAAATGCGAAAGAGGAAGTTCTCAGTGAGAAACAGTAAAACCACAGCGGAACCTGCAAAAACGGAAAACAAGCAACAACTAAGAGCCTTTAAGAAATGTTCTCACGACAGTCACACCACGGCTTGGCAAAGTAAGTGTAGAAATAAAATGAAACTTCACATGAAAACTAAAACTCATGTGAAATCGAAGAAAAAGTAGACCCCGTTGCTGGACAGAAAGAGTTGAATAGAATGAAAGACAGGCAGAAGTTCTCGAGACGTGTTAAACAGACAGAGAAGCTGGATGTTTCACGATCGATTCTCATTGTCGCTGAATCTGAGCATTCTATTGGATTTTCCTATGAGCAGTGATGGAACAAAACAAGGTCACTCTCATATTATCAGTTTGGGAAATGGTTTTCCTATTGCTGTTTGAATGCCTCTTTCGGAATATCGTTCAACAAGAAAAAACAGAAAGAGAAATTTCTAATCATAGAAATGGGCAGTACGGAGGAATTTTATTCATATACGTTCCCACTCTGGGAAGGCGTAATCTAATTAGTTCTAGAATCTTTGCTGTTTCCCCATAAGTTTACGTACTTGACTTGCTCCATAATTTGCCAAGTTAAAGGTTGAATGTTATATCTTCCGCAATGAATCATGTTACAATATTCATCTGGGACGTTGAAAGTTATAATAAGTATCACGGAAACAGAATTTATCCTGAAATTTATGTGTTTCCGCTACATCTTTTGAACAGGCAAATTCAGAAGAAAAATGTCCTGTATATTCAGGTCACTGCTCCCCCAAACTCTGTCTGTACACGGCTTTATAGTCAAGTTTTTGTATAGCTCTCTCCTTGCTCTAAATCACTGCGTCTGTAAGCCCACTATTTTCAGGTTTTTGTAAAAGCCACTCCGGTCTCTATAACACTGTGAATATAATCCTCAACATGTTCAAGCTCTGTACAGCGCTCTCCATGTTCTGTATCAATGGGTCTGCAATACCACAATGTTCAGGTTTTTGTACAGCTCTCCCCATCCTCTATATCGCTGTGTGCCCTGAGCGCCGACTGAGTGCACAGTAATACACACCAGAATCATTCAGTTGTATTGCAGAGATCTTTAACTGGGTGATTTTGGCTGCAGGATCGATGGAGGCAGAAAGTCTTTCCGTGGCAGCATTTTCTTTCTTCTCTTCTCCTGAACTATGTCCCTGAAGCAGATATTTCGGAGCCTGTCTTGGGGACTGACTGTACCAGTAAACTGCGTACTGACAGAAGCCTGAATATTCACAGCTTAAAGCAACAGCGTCGCTAACAGCGTAGGTCTGTAAAGGTGGACTCTGGGAAACCAGCGAAATGGAATCTGTCACATATAAAAAAAAAAGTTTATTGAGTGTCCTTTGTTTCTTGAAAGCATGTTAATGTTCTATACAGCTCTGTTATTAAGGACTTATTCTTCATTTGGAGCAGTTTCGATATGTGTTCACAAGAATTAGCAAAAAGAAAAAGAAAACACTGCGGCGAGATGTCGAGATCGTTTTTTTTTTGGAAAAGGGAATGCAAGTTGTTCTGACTACGATCATATGACAGAATATACGATGAAAGGGAATTATTCAAAGTAACTCTCAAACGGGAAATTTGAAAACAAAAATTCTAACACGTTATATAATTCTCGGAGCACTGGAAAATGTAAGGGTAATGATCACAGTTTTAAAATAGTTTGGAAGAATCCGCTGGGACACTGTGGAGATTATGATAAGGTTCTGCTCTGTTTAATTCTCTGATTTCTATTGAAGATCTACACATATATTGCTTCACAAAACACAAACGTTGGAACTATTTCAACAGTTAATTCTCCTTTTCTCAGAGACAAAAACTTTTGAAGTTGGAGGGTGTGCCCGTTTTATGTGTCTGTTTATTTTAAAATCATTTTTGGGATCAGGACGTAGCTGTCGGAATCAGAGCTCATCTTTCACCCCTAATTGTTCATTAGTAGGCGGTTGTAAGCCGCCTTCATGAACAAGTGCCAACCATTGGGTGCCAAATACACCCAAAATGCCTTTAGGTGATTTCCAGAATTTGACTCAGCGATAAAGACATATTTTCCAAGTGAGCATGGAGATTGGCTTGGAGAGGAATTTGCAGTTCGTGGTTCTCCCACGTATCCACTACTTTTGCTATATCACAGCCTACAGCAAGATTCAACAGAGTGCAACTCGATCCAAGCCGACAGTGGTCAAATAAGCGTAGAATAGAATTATAGAACGATCATAGAACAGAAGAAAGCCATTTGAACGACATATGCGTGCTGTCTATTGAAAGGAGAAACTCACACTTGTCGACTAACGGAAGTCTTGTGCAGCTTCACCCTGCTTTTATGAACACTGTAATGACTGATAAAAACAAGTATCTTATATGCTTTCTTAACCACCATATTATGTCTTGCTGTCTTCAGGGATCTGTGTACAAGCATCCCAAGATCCCTCTGTTCTTCTCAGCTTCCCAGCGACCAGCCATCCACGAAGATTCCGCTGTCTCGTTACATCTACCAAACCTTACACAAAAAAGCAACTTCACAGGATGCGGACGTTGCTGATTAGACCAATATTTCTTGCCCATTCCTCATTGTCCAAAGAGCTGTAAAGTGTCAACCACGTTGCTGTGCGTCTGGAGTCACATGTAGGCCAGACCAAGTAAGGACTGCAGATTCACTTCCCTAAAGTACACTATCCAATTCAAATTCTATCTGCCTCCGAAGTGCCGATCTGACCAACATATATACTCCAGTAACTGAAGATATTCTGCCTGATGGGGACCCAGATCTGATCCCTGTGGTACGCCATTGGATACTGGTTTCCACACGCACAAATAGCTTTCCATCACCATTCTCTTACCAGTAAGCCAGCGGGGATCCAAATTGCCAAGTTATCCTGAATGCGATGTGTTTCCAGGTTCTTCTGCAGACTCCCGTGTGAGGCCTTATCAAAGGCTTTGCTGAAATCTATATAAACTACATCAACTGCACTATCCACATTTATTCACTTGATCACCTTTACAAATAATTCAATCTGTTTGATACGAACCGACTTCGACAAAATCATGCTGACTATCACTGTTCAACCCTTGCTTATTAAAAAGAGAGTAATTCTGTCTTTCAAAACATTCGCCAGTCGTTTCCTTGTCGCTGATGCAAAACTCACTGGTCTGCAACTTCCTGGTTTATTACTACCAGCCTTCTTCAAACGTGGAAAAGTATTCAACGCTCTCCAGTAATATGGAACCACTTCTATGGCCAGAATGAAAGTAAAAGTTTGGGTCAACGCCGGTTTGATTACCTCCATCGTTTCTCATCGTAGACTGGGCCAAAAATCATATGGATCTTGGATTTCTTCCCTGACTTCCTACTGTAAGATTGAAGTGACACGGGTCTCAAAAATAAACTGGCAGTGGACATTAATTGCGACAATCTGTAACACATGCATTTGGAGTCACTTACCTGCTGTGATAGTCACCGCAGTCCCAGGTCCAATTACAGTATTATATTCCCGACACAGTGGCACTGTTGTCAGTCATACCAGTGCAAGAACTATTATTGGTATGAACTGCCAGCCTCATCTTAAAGACACTTGATTCTGCCTCTCATTTTTCAGTGCATTTAGATCAATGAACACTGTTCCGTATTTCCCTGATCCTATTGTTTCAAACTGTTATTTATGAGGCTTTGAATCTTAGCAAGGTGGCCCAGCAATGTGGATCGTAGGAGAGAGCTTCTGGGAAATGGAGAAAACCATCACAGAGAGAGGTCAGAAAAAAAAAAGGAGTCAATACCGGGGAAACCAAAAATAATGAATACATTTCACAATCAGGGAAAGCAAACGATATATTTCAATTACACTGCAATATTTGTTCAGGTGTCATCCACTGTGACAGCCCAAATGGAACACAGTATTTCATAGCAACATTCAAACCCCAGGTATTGGTGAGATGTGCAGACAATAACTAAATGGCAGAGACTGTGTCTCCAGGTTCCAGTTCTTAGGATCGGATCCCGGTTTGTAGACTCTTAACTGTTTTCATCATTCCCAACGTTTACACACAGACTCCAATCACAAGAAAAACAAGCAGCTTCTGCAGAAGCTTGGTATGTTCGAAATTGCAGATGATAGCGCTAATAAAACAGTAACATTAGAAATTAGACTGTGGGGCAGATGGTACGAGACCGATTTTGTTTTTACCAGAATATCGTTACACTTTCATTTTTTTTTCAGTGAAAATCTTAAGAGTGCGTTTTTGTACTACGTGATATAGTAGGCCATCACTGTGTCTATCATAGTTGTAACTTGCTTTACAGTAATAGGAGGCGGTATCTTCAACTCTTACATCCCGAATCTCCAGTGAAAAAGTCTTTTCTTCCTTATTCATCCGTACAACAAATCTCCCTCCGCTGGATATCCGCTCCCGGTCTGTCCTTGTCTGGGTTTGCCTGAGGAACCATCCATGTTCGAAATAATAACCCCAGTTGTGACCATAGTAAACACAGGTAATGGTGAGAGACTGACACTCCTTCTTGGTCACCGCTATTGGGGCTTGTGTCACTGACTGACTGAAATAACCTGGGAATTAAAAAGAGAGCGGTAAACGGATAATCAGAGCAAAGCAAAACTACAAAGAGTGCGAACTCAGCGGCTATGTTCGTGGGATTCTTTACATTGAATCAAAACAATGTGCGTTTGTTTCATCAATACTCACCAGGTAGCCAGATTTCCAGAGTAAAAATAACAAAGATTTCCATGCTTCTGCCACTTGGAACTAACGGTCTGTATGTCGGGCAGGTGGTTGCTGCAGCCAAGAACTGTACAGGGAGACGGACTTCCGAGTTGGACTGAAATAATTGAAAGGATCGAACAGACCTCGAGGTTGAAGCTTCTGTGAGAGTATTGATGGGCAGCTTTGTTGATGGATCTCAGATCCTTGTCATATGAATACTAAAAGTTTTAAAGAGGAATCACGCAGCGTTCTGTGAAACTGATGTGAATTCCACCTCCACTTTACTCTGATGTGCATAGCATTGGGGAGGGGCTTGTTGAATCAGTGAAGTCGCTTAATTTCCACCACAGTAATGAATTGGGAAGTCGCTCCTTATACTTTTATTGGGTGTGGCCTGATCTGAAGGACGGCCCCTCAGCTCAATATTTCTTCAATCCACAGGCAAAGAAAACAAAATACATTAAGCATAAACTCTCTCTTTCTCATTTTAGCCAATGTGTCTTGCATCCTTCCCCAACGCAGGCTGCATTTAACACGAAGTTTCAACACGAGTAATGAATGAGTTCTGCCTCCCTATCATCCACAACTCAAAGTTGCAGCGACAGAGAATAAAATGGCAACCGAAAAGACAACCGATAGTTGGGTAACTTCTTTGAAAAAAAAAATGTCCATTCTTCGTGTTAGACTAAGCTTTGCCTCAGTAATTGTGGCACTGGAACTGATACTATTACATTGATTTCTTTATCAAAGCTGATTCGTCACCATTGCACATATGATACTTTACATAGTATTGGCCTGCCAAAATGACAGTGCATTATGCCATATGTTTGTTTGCATTAAACTGGTTATCACATTTTGCACACGACTATCTCTCAGCTAATATCATCCTAGGTCGGGTTTTAATAGCTACTGCAGCACAAACTGTGTCACTTTTCGTATTATTCAACTATTGTGGCTGTTCTGATTACAATGGGCTCTGCCTCAGTTATTACCACAATAGAGCATGACTTTGTCTCTCTGCACTTGGTGCTATGATTTCTAATCCATGTTTTAGTAATTTGTCCCCATGCCTCCATCCTTGTTTCAGACACATGAGTCTGTGCATCATCTGTTCCTTCGCTAGAAACCTCATGTTTATTCTGAAACATTTTGGCATAATATCTGAAAATGTGGAAGAGACTCAAGGTCTGAAGGCCTATTCCAGCCCATAATTCGTTTGCTTACATGTTTATTTTTGTTTCAAATACTCAGTAAAGTACAAAATTGTTGTTCATTTATCCCGTGAGCGTAATACAGTTGATGGACAGATTTAATGTTGTAAATGAACTGAAAACCTGGCCGGCGGGAGCAACTAATTCAACAGCACGATTCTTTAGCTCTATTTCTGTATTTTTGTCGGGGCCCAAAACTCTCGTGGCACCCAGTGCCTTCGTCCATTCTTGCGATGTGGACTAAATTGAATTGGCTGAGATCCAGTATTTGAGATATCAGTACAACTCCAGTAAAGAGCACCCATCAGCTGCTCTGTACCTGCAGCTATTATGTGGGAGAGTAGCAGTGCACATACTACAGAGGCCGGTATTAGTTACTATTATGGTGTCTAATGTTGTATAGTTGTGGGAATTGCTGATAGGTCTGTTCAGCCATTCAATAAGAACATGACTGATCTGAATCCAGTGGGAACGCCAAACCACTTCGTTCTTTATGCCAAATCACATTCGTACACATTCTGCTGAAATGCTCGAGAATGAACTCAGAGTTTCTAATGAACGAACAGTGATGCATGATTGTTCATTTTACAATCCAACAGTACTGGAGATCAGCGATGAACTAAATCTTTGCGCTTAAGGTGCATATTCTACCATTTAATCTGTAGACGGTACACTCATCAGTAATGTGCAGCACTGTTGGTGTCTCTCCACACGAATTTGTGCAGAGACAACAGTGTGAATACTTGTGTGCAGGGACCTTGGCACGTCTTGAAACCATAGCGAGGACCACTCTTTCCCTTTTCCAGCTGGAACCTGTCACAAGGAACTTATTATTGACAGTCTGTGTTTTTTTTTAATGCCTCGATTCAAAGGATACTGCTGGGAGAGCATTCTCAGGAAGCTTCTTTCATATGGGGCGCCAAGATGAGTGGTAAGCAGTGGGAACATTGGGAATGACATTCTGCGGAAGAAAGCAACGTGCATCGAAAATAGTTTCAAACTGCTTTTGAGCTCTCGTCCTTGCGCAATTGTATGGTAAACTGTTGTTTCCGACGAAAAGAAACCATAGGAGAATGTGAAATCGACGCTTCTCATTATGGTTTAGATTTAAATTTTAGACTTAGATTTTATTGTCTCTTGTACTCGAGTACAGGGATTACAGGAGTACAGTGAGAAGTGTAAAAATTGGCCATTTTCAGGCGCCATCTTAACGCAAATGAAAGATGATAACAGAAACAGAAATAAAAGAAATAATCAAAAGAAAATGAAACGTCCAGATCATTGTCCTGCCTCCGCCATGAGACCTTGCAGCCAGAAATACAAAGCCCCAAAGTCCTTCCCTCAGGATGCGAACACTCAGGTGTCTGCACATCGCTGAGGCCAGAACGCCACCGCCTCTGTCTCAGTCATGGCGTGGAGAATTGAAGCTGCTGCTGCTGGAACCGCGTTGCCTTTCTTGCTACATTATCCCAAGTTCTTCAGCAGTCAATTGTACGTCAACAAGATATCTTTATAGTCTTCCACGATAGAAAAAAAATGTGCTGCATTCTGCTGTTGAGTATGATATGCTGAGTTCTGAGTTCCAGACTTTTCAGCGTACAACTTTGATCCAGTAAGTATGTTTACTAGTTTTTATCACCTGGGTTTAATCTTTTATGATGTTTTTCTTCAGATATTCCAGGAAAGACAAGATCCTATTCAGAATCACTCCCAAATATCTATGGCTGTGGTCATGATTTAGCCTTTGACAATCGATGTAGATACACAATACCTTTACAGCACAGGAATTTCACAGGCAGAATACAATGCACGTGGTTTCAAAGGAGCCCGATTAGATGACATCACGTGTGGCAGCATGTCACGCAACGCTTTAAAGTCTTTGTTAAGGATCCTGATCAGTGTGTTCCAAGATACTGCCACCGCGGAGTCTCATGGAGACCATTGGCCAGCCTTCACATCAAGATTCAAACTCTTGACAACTGCCTTCATTTCCGTCCGAATGTTTCAAACCAAAACTGCATAAAATAGACTAATTAACTTCACGTCAGCTTCAACGCACCTCACAATCAAGTTTACCAAATTACCAGATCCTCCTTAGTGTGTTTGTTTTGTATTAATTCCTGTAAAGCGTTAGACTGCAGTGCAATTCCCTCCCGGGGTTGAGTTGTTATCCAACTGGATGTCCGCCCTTAAAAGAAAATGCTAGTTTGGATTTGAGCACATCAACTTTATGCCAAGCTAGAGACAACTTGCTGCAGAGTGCATGTGGCCATGCAGGAATTGATGTGGTTCCTGGTGGACAAATCTATGCTGATATGAAATTGTACATATACGTTGCACATGTTTTTATTCTAACATATATTGACAGATGTGATTGTGTGGAATTAGACTTGTTTATTCTGAGTCTAACAGTACGGAACTGTCACATTGGATGTTTCGGCACACACCTGGCCAAATAAGTTTTTTTTTTAATCAGTGAAGACTGGGCTCATGCAGCCTAAGTGTTAATACTTCGAGGGCCCTATCGAGGATTTTGATTCAATAATTGCTTTACAGGTTTTCAATAACACACCACACTTGGCAAGTGATCAAACAGACTTAATAATTGTCAGGAGTTAGAAGATAGTTATGTCTTCAAAGAAAATTTGTATTGCTCAGACTGGTCAAAAATCCAGTTAACTACATTTCTTTTATATGAAGAAATTCAACAAGGGAACTTCTACACCTGGCCACTTCATATGGAGCAGTGTCTTAGCCCATATTAAACAATCCATTCCATCTCATCAGAAACGTCAGTCGAACAACAGCTGCACTGATCTGTTTTGCTTCAAGAAATGTAATCGATGTAAATTTTCAGAAATCTAATTATCTCCCTGCAGACTTGCCACCAGCTATAAACGTAATCATTTAGCAGTGAAGTGCATAATAAACCGGAGTTCGAGTTAGAAATGCATGGAATACCGAAAGGTCTGGTGTTTTCCATTTACTATCCCATCCTTGCAATAATCGGAGTGCAAGGTGAAGTATAGAACTTCAGTCGTAGCTGCGTGGATCGTAGGTCAACTGCATCAATTCTTCACTTTGCCACGTGTGCAACTCCATGATATATATCTTTTCTGCTCTTAACTAGCTACTATTATCTCTTCAACGGTACAATTTGTTCACTTGATGTGATATTATTTCTGCTTTTTATTTACACCGTCATTAGTTTACTTTAACCGTCTTACCTCGCCAGCTAACTTGATAACTTATGATATTGACTGAAATGATTTTTGTCTATGTATATATTTTAATTTGTCTTATTTGACATGTTGTTTCACCAGCTTTCCCGTGTCGTTTTTTCTCATGAACTGCCTAATTTACCCCTTTAATGTTTATGTGCCTGTGTGTGACGTGTGTCAGTTTAACTTTTTATTACTCCCCCCCGCCCCATTTATCATTATCATCTCAGGATATAAACATGGGGATATTGCTTTGTTCCCAATCACTGTGGAGGACTTATGATTTTGTTATCTAGGTTAGTGCAATTATGCTGTATTATTATCAATATTTTCAAGGACCAAATACCACAAATTACTGCAGTGTAATGTGTTGCATTTTGTCATTGCTACTAGAAAATGATAGAAATTGCTGTTTATTATGAGAGACGCTGAATTCAAATCTAGTTTAGCTATGGTTCAGTTTCGTGGGCGTAATGAGATCACATTCAAACTATTACCAATACCACTGGTTTCCTTTTTAAAGGATTGCTATTAATGATTTGGAAGTAATTAAGTGAAGGTAAGACTCCTAGCATTGCAGGACTGTACACCAAAGGTCCTTGCAATTATCAGCTGAAGAAGTCAATATTAAAATTCAGTGCTGTCCACATTTCTTTCCAAACGTGGAGAAATGAAATTGGCCACACACTTCGTTCTGTTTCCGCATTTATCTCAGCGTATAGTTTCTCTGAATAGTTTCAACTCGTTTCCTTAAAACGATCTGTATTTGATCCTGAATGAAGTGTAACCCGTGTTCCAACCAGCTTCCACACTGGTTGATGATCACTTTACTACTTACCCACTGCAGCATTTTTCTGAAGTATTTTGCTGTTATTATTTATCTGGTTCATTTAATGGATCACTGTTTTCTAGATATGACTTATTCTTGTTGCAGATATCTGCTAAAAATCCAAGCATATTTTTAAGCTGGATATTTATTTTGAATGCAAGAACTATGGCACCTGGTGCAAGGTATAATTATCGTAGTTATATGCTTCACAGTTTATCCAGTGAAATAGATAATTTTACCGAAAATTGAAGAAGTAGTTTGACTGTTCTTCCACGTTATGAAGCACAAATTCTCTCCCACTGTCTCTCCGCCACCCCGTATCTCTCACCCTCCTTCTTTCTCACTGTCTTTTACAGCTAATTTGACTGTGATTGCGATCCTGTCTCAGAGAAGATGTGGTCTGTCTGCGTGTGTGATTCTTTACCTGCTGTCCATTGCGGTGTCAGATCTCCTGGTGCTGGTTACCTCTGTAGTATTAAACCGGATTGCTGGGATTTACTTTCCATACAGTTTCCTGTCCATCACTCCAGTTTGCAGTCTCCGTACTGTCTTAACTTCCACTGCTGTAGACAGTTCTACTTGGTTAACTGTCACTTTCACCTTTGATCGATTTGTGATGATTTCTTGTCAGGAGCTGAAAACAAAATATTGCACTAAAAAGACAGCAGCAAGGGCCATAGGAGTTGTGTCTGCATTGTGTTGTATTAAAAGTGCATTTTTATATTTTATATATGAACCTCTGTACACGTTTAACAATGTATCCTGGTTCTGCAACCCAAAGTTAATATTTTATATTTCACCTGCATGGGCAGCATATGACTTAATTCGTAGCATTTTCAATCCTCTTCTACCATTCATTCTGATTTTATTACTCAATGCTCTGACAGTTCGATACATTCTCGTGGCCATGACAGCCCGCAGGAGACTTCGGGTCCAGAGTCACGGACAGCATCAGAGTGACCCAGAGATGGAGAAGCGGAGAAAGTCCATCGTTTTACTCTTTGCAATTTCAAGCAGTTTCCTATTGTTGTATCTGTTATCTTTTATAACGATCCTGTATGTCCGAATCGCTAAAGTTACCTATTTCTCAGGTTCAGGTTTCAGTAAATCGACATTTATCCTTGAGGAGAATGGATTCATGCTGTTATTTTTGTGTTCCTGCATTAACCCATTTATTTATGCTGGAACACAAAATAAATTTAGAGTCGAGTTAAAGAATTGGCTGAAATATCCATTGCTCCGATTTCTTAAATGATTCAAAGTTTTACTAATGGGTGTATTCGATGTCAACAGTGTGCAATCTTCCAAAAGTGCCATGTTACAAATCTCAGATGGGAAATATGCAATTTAAACAGGCAGAACTTGAAGTAAAAATCAGTGGTATCCGGACATCCATACATTTCGTTCACTGGTGATTTTTAATGTCAACAGGAAAAAAAAACACCATTTGTTGTCCCCCATAATTGCGGGCATATTATACAGAGTGACTGGTATGAAATAAGTAGAAATACAGTCTCCTCTAAAATTGATTGAAGAAATGTTTCGTTATTCAACTATGTTTAATATTTTATCATGCAACTAAGTGTGTTATTGCCCAGAGTGACATAAATCGAGACAAAGCCTAATATTTTATGAACAAAAATATGAGCTATTGCAGTGACAAATCAGACAACAGCCAGTGTCAGATAAGAAGGAATGGCCAATTGTGATTGCACATTCAAAAAAAAAGCAGCACAATAGAATTTGAGACATTAATGTTTTTTTTTGTAGTCCGTACTAGAAGTTTTCCAACACTGAGCCTGAGAGCTCAGTAACTCACCAGAGAGTCAGTCAGCTTCAGACACGAGATAGTTCAACTGGTTAATTCATTCACTGTCTGGAGGTCGAAACAGTTTTCAACAAAGTCTGCTTCATATTCAGAACCACTTGAATGCCTTTACAGAATAAACTCAGACTGTGAGTCTGGATGTTGTCAGTACCAGAATAAATAATAGTAACTCCAGGCCAGGTGATAGGAACAGATTAAAATCCGCCCTGTCCTTCTCACTAAACATATGAGGACGGCGGCTGAGTGATAGAATCTCTATAATCCATTATTTAAAAATAATGTTCAATGAGGAAATGTTCAGAGCGGTGGATATTAAAAATTCAGATTCAAATTTTGTTCTGCAAATGAGAGAAGTGATGGAATGTGTTTAGTCACAATTCAGAATGTCAGAATATCAGAAATGCCCTCCACACAGCCCAGACCCAGCAGTTGTGCTGATTTGCCCGGTCTGTGCCAGGACAGTTGGATATTTGAAGACATTGGTTTAAATCGTTATCCTCAACAGTCTTCTGTCAGGTCTCATTTCAGTCTTTGTGCGCTCAGAATACAATGAGACGAATAGGGAGTACGGTAGCTCTGATTGAATAGAAGCATTTCGAAATGGGTTAGCACCAGCGATCACATCGGAGAGAATTTTCCACTTTACAGACATGGATCTGGGTTGAAACACATGCCTACTATTGTAATTCATTATTTTACAGGACGCGAATGCCGTTGGCTTGGTCACTATTTGTTTCCTATCCCTAATTTCCCAAAGGGTGTCGTGGCGATCTGCAATCTTTCTTGTACATTCAAATACAAGTTGTTAATATACATAGCAAACAGCAGGGGTACCCTCACTGAACACAGCGGAATGCCCATGGTCAGAGACTTCCAATCACAAAAACAGTGTTTCACAATCGCCCGCTGCCTCCTATTTCCAGGATAATTTTAGATTTACTTTGGATCACATGAGGTCTTACCTTGTGGATCAGCATTCCATGGAGCAACCTCGCCAAAGGCATTACTGAAGTCCATATGAGCCACATAGACTGTACTACCTCCATCAATATATTTCGTCTGCTTTTCAAAACAAAACTCAATTAACCTAATCAGACATGATCCACTGGTAACAAACCCATGCTGTCTATCCCTGTTAATCCTTGCCTTTTCAAATGCGGATTAATCCTGTCACTCAGAAGTATTTTTCCAATACTTTTCTCACATCTGACGTCGGACGAACGGTCCTGTAATAATCTGTCTATCCCTGCTTCCCTTCTTGAACAAAGGAACTATATTAGCTCACGACCAGCTATCCAACACTTCTCCTGTGGGCAGTGAAATATTGAGTACATCTGCCAGGGTCTCAACAATATCTTCCCTTGGCTTCCATAGCAGCCTGGATGCATTTCATCAGGGCTTGGGATTCTATGTATCTTTACTAACGCTAATACAAATCTTATTCATCTTCCTTATAAATCCCAAAATGTTCTAGACACTCGTCATCCTAACTCAAATCGCCAGCAATAATGTATTTCCCCATTGTGCGCACAGATGAGAAGTAGTTGTCTAAGACTACGTTATTGTGTTCAATTCTGGTCGCCACACGACCAGAAGTTAGTGATGGCTTTGGAAAGGGTACAGAAAAGATTTACCAGGATGTGACCTGTTATGGAGGGCGTTAGCCACGCGGAGAGATTGGAAAAACTTGCGTTGTTCACACTGGAACGACAGAGGTTGAGGGATACCTGATAGAGGTCTCTAAGATTATGAAGGGCATGAACAGAGTGGGCAATCAAAAGCATTTTCGCAGGATGAAAGAGTAGGTAACTAGGGACCGTAGGTTTATGGTGCAAGGGACGTTTAATTTTGATTAACGAGGCAAGTCTTTTTTTACACAAAGGGTGTCGGGTGCCTGGAACTCTCTTCTTGGAGGGCAGGGTGGCGGGGTGGGGGGGGGGGGGGGGGGGGGGTGGCGGGCTCCTGGAAGCAGATATCTTGACAAATACATGAATAGAATGGGAATAGACGGATACGTTCCCGGGAAGGGTAGGGGCTTGGAGGGCCGAAGGCCTGTTCCAGTGCTATAATTTTCTTTGTTCTTTTGTACCTCACCCAAGTTCACTGGCTTCATGCACAGGTTTCCGCATTGAACTCTAATATGCGCTACTCATTCCCAAGAACACAGAACACAGAACACAGAACATTACAGCGCAGTACAGGCCCTTCGGCCCTCGATGTTGCGCCGACCTGTGAAACCAAACTGAAGCCCATCTAACCTAAACTATTCCATTAGCATCCATATGTTTATCCAATGACCATTTAAATGCCCTTAAAGTGGGCGAGTCTACTATTTTTGCAGGCAGGGCATTCCACGCCCTTACTACTCTCTGAGTAAAGAACCTACCTCTGACATCTGTCCTATATCTATCACCCCTCAATTTAAAGCTATGTCCCCTCGTGCTAGCCATCACCATCCGAGGAAAAAGGCTCCCACTGTCCACCCTATCTAATCCTCTGATCATCTTGAAGAATTCCTGTTACTCTCAATATAATTGTGAAATGACTTGGTGTATATTGATCCCATCTGCCAAAGTTGTTTCATGGACACGATTTGCCCTCCAGACTTCTTTTTTAAGCTGCCCATCGCACTGTATACTTCAGAATGCCCTTTCCATTTTTTTTTTTGGGAAGTAAATTACCCTGTGCTTCCTTCCTTTTCTTTACCAGGCAATTACATCCCTTGACATCCAGGGTTCTCTAAACTTCTGGCCCTTACCCTTCACTCTTAGAGGAACGCACTGGCCCTGATTCTCATTCTCAATAAACTACTTATAAAGGGATTCCGGCTTTCCAAATGTAGACTCACCTACAAGTCACTGTTACCAGATGTTTGCCAGAAAGTGTCTAATGATATTGAACTTTACTTTCCTCCAAATTAGATGGATAACTTCTGCACTTTTCTTGCCCGTTTCCATAATGATTTAAGAATTTGCAGAATCATGGGCACTATTCCCAAAATTCTCGCCAACTGGCGCTTCAACCACTTGACTCCGTTCTCTACAATTAGGACGGGCGTTGCCCCATCAACTGAGTATTAAGAGCCTTTTAACTGTCAGACGGATTACAAAATGATATGAGCAGGAATAATCGAAATGGTTTGGTCCTCCTTTACCTCCCACTTTCTTTGACCACCATGGTTAGTACGGGAAGTGTCTTCAGAAATAACATCCCAGAATGTGTCTCATATTTCCATGGTGACATTCCTGTTCCATCTTCTATATCTTCCGTTGGTTTTTACTGTACAAATTCTATTATCAGAAGGCAATCCTTTAATATGTGGATGTCGTTGCTCGATGATGTTTCTTTCCCCAAAAATATAATTCATTCATGACGTTTGTAAAAGTGTGATACAAACCATTTCATATAGAAAAATACAGAATTTTCAATAAAAATTCAACTTGTCTCTACATATCTCCATTTTTTTTCTGCTTAATAAAATCGCAACATTCTTAACATATTTATCTTTGCATGATTATGCCCAAGAGACCAAACTAGACTAACATTCATTCCATTATTTGCACAATTGACACAACTGACTAGCACTGTGAACGCGGAGTTGGTGCTTCAGTTCACCAGTCCAAGACCCCCATCTATTGGACACTCCTGGAATTCACAAGCCAAATGTTTTTTATTGGTCTGCTCTGTCTCTGCATCAGCGTGAGGGCTTCAGGGCAGGCAAGACTTGGCTCTTTAGGTTTATTTCCTTTGTACAAGTTAACTGAGAAACTTTCTTGTATTTCTGGAGATTTGGAAACATCCCTCATATATCTTCAGTAAATGTCTTAACAGTTTCCCGAGGATGCTCGACGTACCTGATTAGGGTTACACCTGCCTATGTTGTCAACTGCCAGTAGTCATGTTTCATGTGCTCTCCCTTCCGGACGTTAATTCAGATGGACTTTGTGATACGCAAGCATTGCCGCCAGTGCATGTGTCACAAACACAAAATGTTTCATTGTTGAGGGAATCAAATCACCCCTTTGAAAACACACTCGTAATTAACAATTAAAACTCAATAGTCAGATATATCATTATTGTTGGTCAGGAATATGCAAAGCACATGCTGTCCGGTTTATGTTTTGAAAGAAAATATGAAAATATTGCAACTGTTTTGACCCTTCTCGCCTGATATTAAAGTATAAAATGGATCGGGCTTCATTTACTGGTAGGCTTTAAAGGCGTTTTCCAAATACAGGACTGAATGCTCTGTTAGAGCAGATGACAGTTGCGCATCAAGATGTGAGATCTGGAGACGTTAACTTCTTCTGAACATTTACATTTCTTCTTTCACTTCTCAGTCTGACTTTGCCTATGTCTCTCTGCATTGATCTCTACCTCTCCCTGATGAGACCACACTAATTGAAATAGACATGCTCTCAGCTGTAAAATGCATAGCAATGGATACCTTGTAAATAATGCAATAATCTACTGTTCTTAGGGAAGGAAATTACTCACCTCATTTGTTCTGGACAACACGTGACCCCTACCCACAGCAATACAGTTGCTTCTTAACTGACTGGCTTGCTTTAAGGGACGGACAAGAAATGTTGGAATACCCATTGACGCTCACATCCCTTCAATGAATAAAACAGAATCTGAGAATGAAGGTATAGTTTATCGGGTGGATAAATACAATTACAAACGCAAAATGGGCAGCATGTGGCTTGAATACAATTGTGGAATTTTCACTTTGATACCGGGCTGAAACTGAAACGATAAATGTTGTTTCTGTTTGTCTACATTCAATGAAACCATAAGTCAGATTCAATGAATCCAAAACGACAAATAGTATTGCAATTGAAATTACGACCGAAATCATGTCTTCAGCAAGCACTCAATCATCCGCTACACATTGAGAGACACAGGGATAGATAAAGGGAAGAGAAGAAAAGGAGAGAGGCGTAGAGGGACGGAGGTAGAGAGACAGGCAGAGATAGAGAGACAGCGAGATGAAGACAGTGACAGAGTGACAGAGAGCGATCAGGAATGACTGAAATTGTGAGAAAAAGAGTGATCCCTGTCCGTTGTGTTTTCAACAAGCCTGTGGTTTGAGACAGGTAATCTCTGAATATGACTTTGCATGAGGTCTATTGTCAACATCCGAAAATAACTTGTTTGTTGAGAATGCCGCTGATCAGTCTCTCTGTCTGCCTCTCTGCCTGTCTGTCTGTCTGTCTCTCTCGCTCTCTCTCTCTCTGTGCCAGGAAGAATTTAAAGTTCTCCCCCATCACCAGCATTGACAGTCTTTATCTCGACAGTTAAGCCTGTTTGATCTGCCTCCTCCCAGTCTTCATCATTATGATCAGAAAGACCTGCAATGACCTGTTTCCAGTTGGAACTCTGATGTTATTCATTTTGCATAAGTTTACACTTGTATTTAGGCAACTTGCTTTCCCCATACCTCGTTGTGTTTGTGTCATGATTCTCTTGTTACAGCCGTTCTGTGCGAGGATGAGAGCTCACAGGCTAACCAGGTGCTGTCTCTGGAAGAAGGACCAGTTGAACTTGACTTTCAGCTTTCCATTGTTTCTGGTGATAATGTAGCCTGCAATAGACAAACGCTGGCAGGGGCTCCGACATTTGTCGGCTACATATACCAGAGCAATATGACAGTTGGATGCGACACACTTTCATTTGAGTGAGCAAAGAAGACGAAATCCATTTCTATATATCAAAATTTGGTCGAGGACACAGGTATTATTGTGCGGCCCAGGCACAATGAGACAAACAGTAGACCTGGCCATACAATATCTTGCACTGTGTTGTGTCTTCACTTCCTGTAAACTTTCGCCAAAACAAGAATTTCACAGATACCAGTAACTTCAGAAACCTTACTTTTCAAAGCGCAATCTTTGGGGTGGATTAAATTACAAAATCTTACGACCGTGATAAATTATAGAGAATCACATTAAATTAGGCTTTCTGTGCGTGCAATATTAAAAGTAAATGATGGACAGAAAAAGAGCGGTGCCTTTTTAAGGATGGACAGGTATATAGTTAGTTAGTTAGATAGATAGATAGATAGATAGATTGATAGATAGATTTATAGATAGATAGATAGATAGATAGATAGATAGATAGATAGATAGATAGATAGATAGATAGATAGATAGATAGGTAGATAGATGGATAGATAGATAGATAGATAATGTGCATTTAACCTTTGTCCCGGGGCATTTTATTTATTATTTTTCTTGTAAGTTGCATTTGTTCAGATTTGATTGTAGTTTTCAGTTACTTCTTCTCTACCTGAGACATTTTTCAATATCAGTTTATCACGGAACTGCTGGACAAATTATTTTTCCTTCAAGACAATGCTACAATGGCCCCTAATGACTTAGTATTCTGTTGCTATTACATTCCCGAATGCCTCATCTCCATATTCAGAGATGAAAGAGTTGTTGAAGTATATAGGGTTCAGCTGTCAGGTGCTATGGTGAATAAGAGTGCAGTGAGACACGTTGCAATATTGAGGATGAACCTGCGCAAAGCTTCACTCTCCCTGGCGATTGAGGAGGCAAAAAGATAGTGGACAGTAGAAGAGAGCGATACAGGAAAAATATGTTTGTACTTATCACCCAAAAGTGATATTTAGGCAGGTGCATGAGCAGGAAAGATTTAGACGGATATGGGCCAAACACAGGCATATGGGATAAGTGTAGTTTAGGAAAATCAGTTGGCTTGGACGAATTGGGCTAAAGGTCCTGTTTCCATGCTGTATGACTCTCTGGCTCTATGATATAACCACAAGTTACTTTAGTCTGAAATTCACACATAATTAGACTTGACTAAACTCAGTTTCTCTGCATTTTGACCGGAGCTGTATTTGTCTGGAAGTCTTTAGCGTTGCCTTGTGGAAGGAAATTAATCAGGTAGCGGTTTCCTGCTTTATATTATCTGGAAAATTACAAGGGGAGGTGTGTTCTGTCTTTAATCAATGTATACGGACCTTTGGGGGACTGTGATTGCGAAGGCAGATTTATTTCCTGTCGTTCCTGCATTGATCCTGTCAGTGTATGATAGGACTTACAGAAAGTATAAAGGTAGATTCTGTCAGTATCTTCTTTCTGCTTGGTAAGTTTGGTCTTTGTTGTGATCAATGTTGATACTAAGAGGAAAGTATATACCCTGAAGTGATCTTAAATCTGTGTGAAGGAAATAGTTACACTTACGGGTGTAGAGTGGAGTTGGGTTTTCAAAATGTTCAAATAGGGATGGGAATTTAAAGACAACATTTATCACAGAATAATTTACAAAGATAAGTGGTAGTACGAATACAATTTGTAAAGATAAGCTAACAGTAAAGAGAACCTCGTCAGTTCCTGTTCAATGTTGTGCGTTCTATGATGTTTCAAATGAATTTGTGATTCGCTCACAGTCGGGACTAAATTGCTTCAGCTGATTGATGTGATAGCGCCCTTTGGTGAGCACTGAGTTGAAATCTCAGGATGGAGTTTTGTATGGGATTCACTATATCAATGCATCAGTGTGGTTTGCATGTAACAGAGATACATGACGCTGTTGGAGATGAGGATATCGCCAATAGATTTGTATTATTATTATTTATTCATTTGTAGGAGTTGTTCAGAAGAGTTGAGCAGTAGAAACTCGTTAACTCCATCATTTTATTGGAGAAACTCGTGGTTGGTGAACGTGAATTAAATAAAGTCAAAAAACAGTATCATTTCTAAAATGTACACACATCTGCCTTATTTGCCCTGGTGCGACAGTGGCTTGGATTCAGCACTTTGACTGCCATGTCCTGGCTTCGTCTTCTGGTTAGGAAATGCTGGCTTATTGTTCATATACAACCTCTTCATGTGTCGGTGAAGTTCTGACATTTCAATCAGCAAAGACTGAGCCAATCTGTCAGAACTAATGAAGGTTGTGCCCTTAAAGAAAAACACTTATTCAGTAACTTCGCACCTACAGACTTCTTTAGCAGAGAATTCCCCATCTTCAGCACTCTGTGAGTGAACACTATTCTCCTCATCTCAGTCTGAAATGGCCTACTGTTTAGACTGAGACCATAGCCACTTAATATAGAAGTGCTAGCCAGTGGAAACATCCCTGTATTTTCATTACCCCATTCAGAAAACTGCCATGTCAGGAATCAATCTGTTGATTCTTTGCAGCACTCTCTCCACGGAATGTATACGTTTCCTTCGGTAATGCGTCGATAAATTGCACACAGCACTCCAGGCGTGGTCTCGTCAATGCCCAAGCCACTGCAGTTAATTCATTGTTCCTTTACCCTTTCGTCTTGCAATGAAGGCAGACTTGGAAATGTTATAGGGGATTTCCTCATCCAAGTTATTGACATGGATGATAAGTAAATGTGACTGACCAACTGCTGCATTAAAAAAAATCACCTAATATTTTACAGCGCTTCAAGGAAGAAGGCAAACACAGACAGAGTTTGCATTGTTAAAGGAATGTAGAATCACGGGGAAGTGGGGGCGGAGAGAGAGTGAAATTGAAGATTTTCAGATCATCCATGATCTCACTTAATGGTGGAGCAGATTCGACAGATGGAACGGTCTTATTCTGTAGTTACTTCTTGATAATCTTTGTGCCCAATACACGACAGGCTCAGCCGATTCGTCGGTGCTAATTAGTTCACTTTGATTAGTAAAACAGTTTTGTTGGAAGTTTATTGTTATCAAAAAACAACTTTCCCATTGCATATTTTTTGTAAAAGAAGCAGAGTATTATTGCTATTAACTGAACTTATATTTTTTCTCTGTCATAACTTTTCCATTCACATATCATTACATTTGGGAAACTAGACAAACGCAAAACTGGGGTAATTTGCATTCTCTACAGATGTATTTTCCTGGGATATTTTTGAAGGAAAGATATTCCAAGATGTGGGGGGAGGGGGTGGGGTTCAGATTCAGACATCCCTAAGAACCTATGACAAAGGTGGAGATTAAGAGAGGAGGTGAGACACAGAGAAAGACTGCCAAGAAGAGACAGAAAAACAGACAGATGAAGTCGAAAGTCAGATAATTTTGATGCCTAACATTTGTCACATTTGATTGGACAACGAATTCTCCATCTTGGGGAATGCCCCTCCTATTCGCGTTAAGTGATGCCAGTTGCTGATCCGAGTTTGCTCCTTTACATCAGTTTGGAAGTATCACCACATTGAATCAATTCTATTATTTCTCTGAAGGTCTAAAACAGGCTCCGTGTTTCAATTTTTTTTCACTAAGAATATCGGTCATGCTGCTTGATAAGTCAATGCTTTAATTACCAGTATTGTGTTATGAATTATGTTCATGGAAATTATTCGATCAATTCTGCATTTTGTTGCAGGAGTAATGGCAAAGGTGAGGTGTTACAGGATCATTCAGAATTAGTGGTTCTGGAAGGACAGACCTCAATGCCATACTGGAGTTTTTCAGCAGCCGGTTGTCAAACTCAAATCCGGCACATCCCCTTTCCTGTGGAATATCCAAGATATGAATTCAAGATGTACATCACGACCGTAACGACTGAAAAAAATCACAGACAGATTTTCTGCTGTTTTGAGCAGAGAAAACAAATTGGTTAATTTGAAAGAAAACTTTTGATGTATTCTCCCCGACAGCGCTGCAAACGTCTGTGCTATGGTGCACTCAGTGTTGCAGAGAAACAGGGGAGCCTGTGCAAAGTCCATCCTGAGAATTCTAGATGGGATCCACCAGAGAGCGACATCACATCAACAAACAGAAACAGAAATTCAGACAACAGAGTGAAGATCATTGTGTTTCCAGTAAAATATCAAAATAAAGCACAACATTCAACAAGAAGAGCTGAGGACAATATGGGATTTATTTTCCTTCATTTTAAATTGCAATAAGATTATTTCACACAATAATTTGTGGTGCATTACCATGCAGTCAGTCGTTTGATGAACTTTCTGCAGTCATGTAAATTATTGGGATCTCTTCGTTTATATTTGTGATCACAAACCCCTTAGGCATTGGCCTGGCGGCTTCATTGTACCTGGCGCATGGCTGAGGTAGACATGCAAAAACCCCTTTTCCAGGGGTTTCGGTGGCTTGAATTTCCTGGCAGTTACTTCAGAGAAAACGATTGCATCTCACAAAAATCTGCGATCACTTCAGTAATTTTTCCTTCATTTTCTTCCTCTTCCCTCCGTGTGAGTCTCGTTACTACTTTTGACAAGAATTTAAATATACATAAATGTATATCATATTTTATAATACATATTGTATATTATATATTATACATAATATGTTATGTTCTGTTTAATAACTTCAATCATACTTTACCGTTGGATGTTATGCTCTTTTCTTTTTCCTTCTTGGATATCTACAGACTTTTAAAGTGCAACTGACAGTGAGGAAGTATGAAAATCTTCGGAATCTATGCTTGTTACAGAGATAGAAACTGCACCATTGATCTGTGCCACTGCAGTCGCAAGAGAAATGCTGCAATGATAGATACAACGTCCTGAGTAATTAAATGTCACCGAGATAATGTTACCAGCCATCAGGATTGGATCACGTTCAGTTCAGTTTAGAAGTAAAGAGCAGCACTCCAGAAATTACTTACGCTTGAGTGAAAGAAATTTCACCAACTCCTGTCCAGGAGTGGCACCGTGTTGTGACAACCAGCAAGGACAAACGATTCTGTCAAACTTTGTTCTGCACTCAGCTGAGATGATATCAACCATGCTGATTAAAACACGAATATAGACAGATGCAAATACTTGTGGAGGTTTTTGTATTGGGTCTTGACTTCAAACTGATGACGGGCCTCACTGCACTGAATAGATTGTCCCGCTCTGCACATTCTGGCTTCTTACATTACAATAACCAGACTTTCTAGATGTGCCTGTAGATGACAATGCTGTCCTGAGTTTTCGGATTTCTCCAGTTCTACCTTGGTAACGATCCAGCTTGGAGGCCGATCCGTTTTCCATTGGTCCCATTGCTTGATGCCAACATGCAGAACAGTATATTCACAATAAAAATCACCGACACCTCTTCTGACTGTTGTTATCACTGGAGACTGAGTTCCACCCTCTGTGCATAGTCCATCGTTGATGGTCAAGGAATTAAAGAGTGAATGGTTAAACGGAAATTATCTAAATAAATGTCTAATGGTATGCTTGTATGTAAAAAGCCAATCATAAAACTCCACGTAGTGTATGCACATCTGATCGCGACCTACACCAGATTCCATTGGCAACGTTGCAACACCTGCCTAGATGTGTTGTTATAAATTAAATTACATATAAATGATCACAGTCCAGTGCCTGTTCTCCAACACACCAAGCAGTAATATCAGAAACATGTCAGAGAGAATTCCTGATGTCGAATTGCCTGATTTGAGGTTGCAGATTGTGAAAGAAGAATTGGATAGCTCTTTCGAGACTGTGTAGGTGGAAAAGGTCAAAGGTCCTCCATGTAGAAGATTCCATGATCTACTCATAGATTCATAGAGTTGCCCAGCACAGAAACACACTCTTCAGTCCAACTCGTCTATACCGACCAGGTATCTTAAAATAATCTAATGCGGTTTACCAGCATTTGAACAATATTCTTCTAAACCTACTCATGTATCGATCCACATGCCTTTAAATTTCGTAATTGTGTCCACGTTCACCATTTCCTCCGGCAGCTGTTTCCATAGACGTACCACCATGTGCATGAAAAAGCTGCCCCTCAGGCCTCTTTTAACTATTTCCGCTCTCTCCTTACACACATACCCTTCAAATCTGTTCCATTCCGACTTTTCCCAGTCACTTGAATAGTGAGCAGAGGCGTGGCAGTCACAGACCTCAAGATTCAATCCTGTTCTTTCTGCTCCTTTTGTTGCAATCACAACTGACAGTTGGCACATAATTCATTGACCTTTGTGTCTGCAGTATTCCCAACCACAGCTTTCGTTTGTTTCTTCCCTTCTGAAGCATTCTGGGGACATTCCTCCTGGATTTGCATAGCTGTTATTGTTTGGGAGACCAGTGCAGCGGAAATAAGAATCCAACAGAGCATTTACCGCCTTTTTGTATAAAAACAAGAAAAAACACATTCACAATTTGCCTCGAGATGTTCATAATTTCATTCCAGGCCTCATTGACGTAACCACATTGACCAGGATCGTTTCAAAATGTCAGCTCTTTCGGTGTGAACACTAAACTTATCATAAGTATTAAATGCAAGCTCGAAGACCAGAACAAAATGTATTTACAGTCTGATTTCCCTTTAGACATTATTAATGATAATACATCTGAACATGGTGCCATGCTAATCAGAATGATGTTCTGGAATTTTATTCCACAACAATGACGGATTGTTGATATTGTTGCAAACCAGAATGAATGATTAAAAAAAAAATAATCTAAGTTTGCAACGTAAATAGAGAATAGCAGCCTGGGTGTAAAATGAGTTGCGAACGTCACCCAGAAACATTGTTTTTTTTTAAAAAAAAAGAAGTACAGCACAAAATTAAATTAAGGAAATAATCCGCTACGAGGTGAATATGTTAAAAGTGTTGAATTACAGCAAAGCTGTAAAGTACTGAAAGGAGTGTGTTTTTTTTTGTTTTCAAATTGCTTGACAACTGAAGGCAGTGGGGTGGTGTTTTCACTGTTCACTTAGGCCAGTGGAATGTTCAATTTTGAACTCAATAGTTCAGGAAATTTGTTAATTAAACAAGTCATTTGGGTGCTATAACCGTTAACTTAAAATTTGTAGCACTGTTTTATTGTCCATTATGTAATTGCAATTAAGTTGTCAATAGTGATATTGGTGTGTATTTACATTCCTCCACTGGGGATGTTGCCAACATTGCCCTGTGAGAGACATGGCAGAAATTCTCAACCATCTCTTTAGAGCCACAATTGCTCAAATCTCTCCCTGTAAAATTTCACACAGGTTTGAAAATGGCCGGTTTACGATAACTGTTGGGTGGAGAGAATGAGAAAAAAATACCACGGAGAGAAAACAATGGATTTGCAATTGGCTTGAAATGAAAAGATTTCAAAACAGAGGCGTAGCAATCGGAAGTCAAATCAGCAACCCAAAAAAAATGAAGAGAGAGAGAAGAAGAGGACAGCAAATAAGGCAGCTAGAGGAATAGGCATGAGAAAAGTTTGAATAAAAAAAAAAGAATGTGACAAACATTTGGGGAAGACAAATTGAACCCAAGATTATAGGGAGTCTAGGACGATAGGGCATGATTTCAGAACAAAGGCTGGCACATTTAGAACAGCGATGAGGAGGAATTTCTTCTCTTGGGGATTAGTGCATCTGTGGAATTCTTTACTACAGACTTTTGGCGAGGCTGGTTCGTTTATACCGTTTAAGGACAAAATAAACAGAGTTTTAATCAATATGGGAACCAGGAATTATGGGGAAAACTCAGAAAAGTGGAGTTGAGGAACAATAGATAAGCCATGGTCTCGTTAAATGGCAGTGTAGGCTCGATGGGGTGAATCTCTTGCTTCTGCTGCTACGTCTTATGCTCTTAATGTGAAGCTGTATAACTGACCTGTTCAGTTTATGAAGTTAAAAACTATGTTTGACCATGATCTGGCATTTACCTCATATCCCGGAGAGTTGTGGTGATAAAAGGGGGGAATGGCAATATTCACAAGAAGAACAGCCAAAAGTAAACACCATCACGAAATGAAAACCAAAAGAACTGTGGATGCTGTAAATCAGGAACAAAAACAGAAGTTGTTTGAAAATCTCAGCAGGTCTGAAAGCATCTGCGAAGAAAAGAATCAGAGTTAACGTTTTAGTTCCAGATACTCTTCTTCAGTTGTGAGGAAGCGTCACCAGATCCGAAACATTAACTCTGAATTGTTATTCACAAATGCTGCCAGATCTTCTGAGGTTTTCCAACAACTTATGTTTTTGTACACGCCATCACTGCCTCACTTCAATTGTCCTCACTTTGAAAAACAGTGAAGGAACAAATTTCCCTATAAAAAGTAAACCCGTTTCTCTTCAGGTGCTGACTTCAGCATTGCTTCATTCTTGCAGGAACTTTCCATCATTTTATTTACATTCACTCCGCTATTTTACGACTGACTCCAATGAAATGTATTCTCATGCTTCGAATCATGGTCATTTCGAGTCAAGACCGTGAACGAATTCTGCCAGAAGCTATTGATCATTTCTTGCCGGAGGTCTAGAATCAGAGGAATTGAATGGCACGATAATTGTTGCCGTTCCTTCACTGCAGCTGAGCGCCTCAAAGCTGGCTCCTGTTAACATCAGCTTGTTGCTTACCTACCTGAATTATATTGGTTGAAAAACATCAGATTATCACAGTTCCGCTTTCTTCATATTGAAACCACTGGCGACAATACGAACCGTTTCAAGTATTAACATCATGCAGAAGACGAGAAGGAGAGTGTGACTGCTTCTCCTCTGCTTTGCCTCCGGCTGTCTCTGACCATTCAGTTCCCAGGTCCAATGAGCTACTTGGTACAAACGCTGGCAGATCGTGAATCCTATCTTTACCTGGAAAATTAGCTCGGGGATGTGAGGCGCAACACACTGAGATGAGTTTGAGCACGGCTGCGGAAACAGTTATTAAGATCACATGTTTATAATTGCGGACTAAGGAAGCGAGCTACTTGCTGCAGTAGTCCGAGCCTCTGGTCTGCTCTTTTAGCCACTGTATTTATTCGGCGAATTCCGTTTCTAGCCAATGTAAATCCCCACGGTCTTGATCACGGGGAGTCAGTGTTGGTGAAATTATTGAGTGGCCCTAGTGGAAGGAACGTATAAAGAACATCCTTATTCAGGTTAGTGCTGAGGAAGTGATGCTGATTGCAATGTCAGCAAACAAGTGTAATCAAGAGTAAGTGGATGGGACAGTTACCGTGAGGTTGAAGTGTCCTGAATGTTGTATACAGACTGATCTGTGCATTTTGCCACATTGCTGTGCCATTGACATTTTCACAGTTGTACTGACGTTGATTGGCTGCAAGCACAATTTCTGGAGCACATTTGGAGGTGCCAGTGTTAAACTGGGATGTACAAATTCAGAAGTCACAAGACTCCAGGTTATAATCCGGTAGGATTATTTGAAATCACAAGCTTTCACCTGACGAAGTGCTCCCAAAGCATGTGATTTTAAATTAACATGTTGGACTAAAACCTGGTGTCGTGTGACTTCTGAATCTGGAGCAGAGGTCTTCAGTGTCAGTGGCTAAATTTTGTTAGGGCACATAGCGTTTGCAGTTTTTGATGCCAAGTAGGAACATTCAATTTCGCCGAAAATGCGAATAAAATGAGAATGTTGGACAAACTCTTGGATTTTGCATCATCTGTGAAGACAAAAATAGATCTAACGTTGCAATATCCAATAGAACTCTTCTTGAGAACGGAAGGGAACTGAAAAGTGATTACTTTTATAAGTTGGCAGAAATTTGGTTGGCGAGGAAGTTAAAGACTCTTGCTGCACTTTACAGCCATGTGTAACCATTGTGTTCAATGAATTCACAGCATGACCTCTGTTCCACAATTTGATGAGAACCTAGAAACACTAACCAACCAGGTCTTTCATGTGTCTGGAAATAGAATCAAAACAGTGAGGATGTCGTTCTGAAGAAGAATCATTACGGACCCAAAACATTAAATCTACTTCTCTCTCGCCATATATTACCTGACTTGCTATGTTTCTCCAGCATTCGCTTTTTTAAAATAATTCTTAAAGTGATGTCTTCAATTCTTAAAGAAATGTCTTTAGTTTTTTATGTCATTTTGCCTTTGCTCAGAAGAGCTGAGAGATTTGGTCCATTTTATAGCTATCATTAAAATATAATTTGCATCTCTATTTCCCATTTATCATCATCAACACTCTCTTTTTCATGTGCTCTGGGCACCCTCACTATGTGTTCCATTTCGTCTCATTGCCATTACATCGATAACGTAGAGGAAATAAATAAATAACTTCATACATAAACAAGAAAGATAGAAAAATGATTGTTGCAACATCTTTCACAACTTCAGCATATCGCAAACTTTATTCGGCACAATTGAATAACTTTTCATTTGTAGTGTTGGAAATGTAATCTCAAAGATGAACAAAGCAAGATTCCACAGTGAAAATCGACAGAGCCAAGCAGAAAACTGGTTTCAGAGCTAATATATGGTGGCGAAATGTTGGTCAAATACGACAGGGATAAAATTTCCGGTCCTTCTTGGCATACCAACAGTGAAATATTATACACTCCACCTGAGAGAGTGGACAGACCCAATGGTTTAGCATCTCATCCAGCACGGCGGATAGTTCAGCATTCCTTCAGCATTCCCAACGGGGAAGCGTTGAAGCTGGCATATCGGCCTAAAACGTCTCAAGTCTGGCTTGGTGGGATAACGACGTCTAATTCCAGGGAGAATGAGGAAGAGAGTACCGATCATTGAGTCCTACTAATATATGTGATTCTCTTCTGTCACTGTTTAATGCAAGAAATGACCCCAGTGTAAGGAAAGATCATTACTTTCTGCAGCTCCTTTCTGAACTTGGTCTGGGATACTGCGTATATGAAGACGTTGTTGCAAGAACTGAGTAACTGGAACATGTTCGTCGTCTCTTGAAAGATATACTGCAAGTCATTGATATCCAGGCCGATAAAGTAACCCTTACCCGTAACCTGGACATAGAGGAAACGTCCAACATGCGTGGCCCACAAGCAGAGGAAGCTGAGAGAGATTGTGAAGAGAAGAACAATAGACTTCCTGCGGTTGGCCATTTCTGCGTCTCTGCCATCCTCGATGCCCCGGAGTCTCTTACGGGCTTGGCTAGCCATTAGAATGTGCCTTACAGTCATGGCATTAAGCAGCAAAATGAGGACAAATGGTAGAAATGGGGTTAAGACGTGGTCCAGCCAGTCGTAGGCCTGCCAGACAGGTAAGGCATAAAAAGTTGATTTGATGTCACAGAACCAGGGTACACCGTCCAACACGTACAGTGGCTGATAGATGAAATAGAAAGGGATGTTCTTAATGCAACTTAAAGCACAGACTATTGTTATGACTAGCGATGCAGTTTTCTCAGTGCAATATCTGATCTTGAGACTTTGACAGCAGATGGCCACAAAGCGGTCGATGGTGAAGGTCACTGTCAGCCAAACTGAACAATCCTGGGTAACATAAACTAGCACAGTGCTGAGTCTGCACCCAGGTGTGGTAGAAAGCAGACTATACCTAAAATAGAGGCGGGTGATCCTGTTTAGGATGACTGCAAAGATGATGACAAGGAAATCTGACATTGCTATCGCCACGAGGTAGTAGGAGATACACGATGAAAGTCCACACTGTCTTCGGCATAGGATTATGATCGCCACCAAGTTGGCTGCGCGGGATCAAAACGGAGAGATATTTTACAAAGCAGTCTCAAGCCACTAACTATTACCTGCTCCAATCTATTACTAAAACTATCCCAATGCGTCTATTTGCTACCTCCAAATTTAGTGAGTACTTATCCACATCCAATGCTGATTTGAACTTTTCACAAAATAAGTATCATTGCAAACGCTGATCAGTGCAACGTCCGCTCTGTGAGCAATCAGTCATTCCTCCTGGAGTGCTGCACAGCCTCAGCTCTCTTAACGTGTATTTTTTAAACTCTGACACAGAAAAATCTAAGGAAATTTTATCTGATAGAGAATTTCATATCGATCAAATCATGGCCTTTTAGTAAAATGAGACAAGAACACAGAGACAAAGACTCTGATAGGACAGCTTAGATGTAAACCATCTACTTTGAAATTTCCAATTTCATATGAAGTAGAAAGAGAAGGCTTGATCCACCTGAGACGAAGTTTTTAAATAGTTATGTTTGCATATTAATGTAGACATATATTCATACAATATTAGAAGTTTAAATTGATTAGATATCGGGGAAATTCATTAGATATTTGTGGGCATTTAACCTTGGGCGCAGAGATTAGTTTTGACAAACATCCTCGCAAGAATGTTTCTTTGGTCTGTAAAACAACAGAAAAGTATGAACAAGATAACGTCGTAACAGTACCAAAAGACAAATAACGTAACAAGAACGGCAGAAACAATTTTAAAACATGATCACTGTGGCCTCGAGAGAATCAAAAATCGTTGCTTCGGACCTAACAACCAACCTAAAGAATCCAAATAGGCTTATATTAGTGACTTGATGAAAATATATCAATGTGATTTGAATAAGTGCTTTTTGAAAAGTATTTTAAATTAACGACAACAAAATCCACACTGTTATTAAATTTCTGTTTTAAACAATTTTACAGCATGAAAAATAGAGGAAATTGTAAAAGGTAGCTGCCAGACAGAGAGACTGGGATTGTTTAACTTTTCCACATCGGATAAGAGGGAGAGACTGAATGGCATATTGTTGCATTATATGCAATGATACAAATTGTTCATGCGATATTAAACATTACACTTCATAATCCATCAATCTATTTGATCATATTTCTATTAATTTACAGACTAAAATTCAAATAATATCCTCGAATGCTTCGTTATTCAAGAGCATGTGATGCACCATATTCCACCAGAAAGCAGCAAAATAACAAAAAAACAGTTTTCATAGAATTTGATCACCGCTGGAAAGGTCAGCATTTCTTGTCCTTCTCTCACTTCCTTTGAAGTATAAAGCATTCTCGGACGTTTCACAGGCAAGCCAAAATGTGTAACATTGCAGTGCGTCTGGAGTCTGAAATAGACGAGACCAGGGAAGGATAGCATAATCGCCTTCCCTAAAGATCAAAAGAGAACCAGGTGTGGTTTTACAGTAAACGATGATATTTTCATTGTCAATATGACTGAGACTAGCTTTCAACTGCAGGTCTTTTATTGACTGAAAAGGAAGAGAGAAGTGTTCCTTTGATCTACAAAAACAGAAACATCTTTGGGATTTATGACTCACCAGGGGTACCAACGACAGCGAGAATGGGATAGCAAATTGCAAATACCGGACCAATAGCAGGTTCGTGCATCGTCCTTCAAAAATAGGAGAAATGAGTAAAACTACAGATCTTAGCTGTACGAAACGTTGACATTGTTCCTCTTTTATTCCGAGTCAGAGTGTCTGGAGGGACAATTAAGTTACAGCATGCACAATAATTACAGTTCAGTGAACAAACAGATCAACTTACAATTACATGCCTTTAGTCTGTACCATTGGCAAAATAAATTATTGCTGAATTACAATGTGAGAACTGTTGTTCATGGATTGTGAGCTTCCTTCCTCTCCACAAACCTTGCTTTCTGTTTCCGTCAATGGAGCTGCTGATGGTTGATGTTCCTATCTCTAAAATCATCTACATTACCTCTTCAATTATTTGGTTGTTTTTTTTTTTTACGTGACAGATTAGTTCAAGTATTTGGGTTATTTGTAAGAATGCTAATGTTATTTCCATCAGAATTAACTGAACTTTTCAAGAAGTTTATTGCTGATTGATGTGAAATTACTGTTATCTAATAGAGAACGGCATTGTGGTTGTGGCCATCCAAGTTTCTATGCCATGCTGAAACTATAGTAGGCTTCTATTTTCGAGATCAGCCACAACTGCAGGGAGGGCTAGCAAATGGTCTAATGTAATACAAGTAGACTTATCATCAGGTGAAGTAACAATCATATTTGGCTTAATAAAAAAGACACAAACGGTGGTACAATTAGTGTCACTTGCAAAAATATCTGCCCTGGTATGCTAAGAACTGAGAAAGAGCTAGTAGTAATATGAACAACGACAGGACCACTGTAATATTGGCTTAAAAGAACAGTCATTTATGTGGTAGCAATTAAGATAGATTTACTGCAAGGTATACTTGGTCATGGTCGAATGCTGCATTTAACGTTTTGTCTCATAGACACGGCTGTGTTATTTTGACTGAGCAAGGTCCAAGTGCGATTCAGTAGCTCAGCAGTTAACATTGCAGCCTTATAGCAGCAGGGACCGGGCTCGATTCTACCCTGCTACGACTGCCTATGTGGAGTTTGCACATTCTCCCCGCTCATCCCTGCCTTAACTCACAGGCCAACGATATGCAGGTTACGTGGTTTGGTAGCCGACTTGCAGAGGGATAAGGTCGGGGGGAAGGTGGTATGGGTGAAATGCTGCTTGGAAAGTTGGTGTGGACTCGATGGGCCGACTGGCCCGCTGTCACTTTGCTCTGATTTTGGTGTAATTCAAATGAGTAAACAGTCATGCAAACTAATTACTATACATGACTTACAGCAGTGCACCAAAGGTCGTTCAAGGTAACTTGGAAAGACACATCTCTAACTCACTAATAATTGACTATAAAGTCATAATTCAGGGAGCTCTTCAAGTGTAGGGAACAACAGGAAACGTAGTTAGCGTAAGGTTTGATATATTATGTGGGATTGACAGTGATATTTGCACCAAAAAGAGAGAGAGAAACTGTAAGTCTGATTTGCCAATCAAAGCCACGGGTGGACCATCTATTTAATGATAGATAGGCAGAATGAGGAGCAGACGTCAAATGAAGAAGCGGAAGGCGTGGAGGGAAACAGACAAGAGGAATTAATGGATACTTCAAGGCTTTCTGTGGCAGAAATGGGTTCCAATTTCTGGACCATGATGCCAGCACTAAGGCAATGGAAGTTGTCCCGTTCTGATCGCCTACTACTGACCTCTGCTGAGATCCGTGCCCCAGAAAGATTAGGGAAGTAGCGAGGATTCTAAAAATTGAAGAGGCGGGATTATATCTGGGAACTTTGGTTAAATCATAGAATACAGCAAAGGAATTCTTTTGGAAAATAGTCAACTGTACGTGACTTCATGGGGCAGAAAATGCAAATGTGAGTGTAAAGCGACAGCTGAAGCCGGATGTTACAAGAATAACGAACAGTTAGAGCTTTAAGATCTATCTCAAAGCATGCAAACATTTCAAAGGAGGCAGTGAAAATGTTAGCTCAACTGGAAGTAAACAAGTCTAACTTGATAGTCATTGCCAAGACGTAGTTTTCACAACTCATTATTTAAATTAGAACCTTGAACACACTGAAAGCTTGCATTAGAGGTTGGTGCAACAACTTTGGGTTTTGTCCGGAAAATGTAATTGGTCGCCCAGATGATCGTTTGGATGAGATGTTCCAGGGACAAATCTGTTATTCTTTTCATGCCATCTGCAGTGTTTGCAGCATAGTTCCGGGTTCGCAATGGGTTCAGGAGAAAAATTCTCCAAACAAAACTGTTATTGAATGAGTAACCAAAGAAGTGTTTATATATTTTCCTTTTAACGGAAGGTTATTGGAAATCTATTGATAAAGTAGATCGTCTATGTACTTAGATCGAACACTGAGAAATCAATGAAGTGATTGGATTCAAACCAACCAATCAATAGTGAGTTCTCCCTCAGCTCACAGTTAAGGAGAACAGGAAAAACAAGACAGTGAGATATCGCCCGTTCGCTAAAACTCCAAACATTTTCACATAATTACCGAATGAATGAGTCACAAATGAAAGTCACACCGAAGCCTTAAAACTTTTCCCAGCCAGGTTCCTTCATTTGGTTGAAGAGTTAACTGTTTTAAATCTGCAAAAGAGCTCCATGGGACTTGCATCAGAGAGTGACTTGCATCCTATTGTTCGTCCATCAGACTTGTAATTCACTTTGTATTGGATATCGAAGCGAATCTGAGATCAGAATGAGGATAGAGAGTAGATCAATATGAAATCCAGGAACACATGTTGACAAAACTGAACGACAGTAGTCAGAATGGGATACAGGTAAGAATGTGTTGAAACTCGTTTTTATAATGTTCTGATGGAAGTAATGTCTCCTTCATATAATACGTAGGGGAGAATGACAATAACAATTATAACAATTAATACTTGAAATGGATATCTATTCCAAATTTTAATATTGAAACAGTGAATACAGAGCAACATGAATTGTCCATGCCACGAGAGACTGAAAGAATGGGACACAGCCTGTGAATTATAATTGAGCTGAGAAAGAGTTCAACCTACAACCTCCTGATTTGTAATCAGATACGTTATTCATTGTACCACTGTCCCAACTCTGTCATGCTGCCCTTGATTCACGTTCTGCAGAGTTGCGCTGTTAACAATTGCATGCAGGGTCGTTTTTTTCACGTCAAAGGGTGGTATATCTTTCGAATTCTCCAGCCCAAAGGTGTATGGATACTCGGTGGATATAGAAGTCTGAGATAGAGCTATTTGGGCCTGTAAATGAATGAACATGCATGAGGATCGATTGGAAAACTCGTGTTGAGGTTCGTGATCTTCCAGGCCCTAACGAAGCAAAATCAGGACAGAAGGACTGGAGGTGAGGTTGTAGGCCTGCTCGCCAAGTCAGTGTGTTTGATTGCAGATATTGCATCATCTTGTTAGTTAATATCCTCAATGTCCCTCTTGTGAAGCGTTAGTGTTCTGTTCCGTTTTTTTGCATATACGCCTCAGTTTGCTGAGGTGGTTGAAAATACTTGAAGGTCTTGCCTCACTGCTGCGATTATGTCGCAGGGAAGTGATAGTAGCTGTCCATTAGAGGGCGCTTGAGTGATACCACATTTGAGATCAAGTTGGATGTTTCGGTCTCTTGAAGCGCAGGTTGAATATAGGTTCCCATTTCAGATGTTTCTGTGTGTGCTGCAGTGATCAAGTTCTGTTCCAGTGAATACAGGTATTTGCCTGGTTCCTTCCGATGAGAAGAACACGAAGCGCCAATATCTCTCAATGTAATGAATGTATTGATTATTATTCCAATGAGCCGGCAGTGACACACCTGTGAAATTCTTCTCATTATGGGGTAAATAAATATTATTTGCACACGTTTCCAAGTCAGTGTGGTGTTCGAGTGGTTCAGACACTGTGGTTAGGACACCGTGAAGATGCTCTCAGCATGTCAAGAGTTATTGCCAATGTTAGTTTGCACCACTGACTTTAAAGATGCTCCTGAAGAATCACTCAGGGTTTACAGGGAGGTAAAATTAAACTTGTTTTCTCGTTTCAATTCATTCTCAAGAATGCAGAAATTTGTGGGCATAAAGGGAGCAAAATCTTAGCTCAATAGGGGAAGCCTTTCCTCTCTGGGTGTTTGTTACTCGTCAGACCTTTCTACCTTTCGGGGTATTTCTGTACGTTTTCCTTTTATGGTGTCAAGACAGTTCCAGAGCACATTGCAACAAACCCAAAATTTAGGGTGGAGTTTCATTTTAAAAGCCTGAAGAGAAAATAAAACAAAAGACCGATGAAACACTCCCTGGATGGTTACAACGCTTCATCTCGGGCCATTATGATTTCTTCATCTGGGATATGAAACCATTACTGATTTTTGCAGAGTTGTTCTGTCTTCGTTGCCTTTAAAGTCAGGAATTCACTTTAAGAGTTTGTTGAAGAAGAACACATCCCCATTTCCTGAACAGGAATCAAAGTGAGCCCATGGAGGTGAAAGAGAAAATTTAATTCTATGACAGCAGGGGAGTCATTGGTCAGGCTTGCATCGTTTCTTCATTACAAAGTTTCTTTGGAGGCCCCAATCTCCGAATAGTTCCCATAGACTTGATTCGCAGTATGCAGACAGGAGGTGGACAACTGAAAAGAAGCATACGAGAGAGAAGGAGGGAGAAAATTAGGAGTGGAGAAAAGGACTGTGAATCTGGATGTGAAGTTCAGCCCAGAGATCAGAGAGCGTGTGTGAGACAAGGATTTACTAATTTGGGGAAACAAGAGATGATAAGACACATGAATCATGTGAGGCTATGACAAGACAATGTTATTCTCGTCAAGCCACATTAAGGCTAACGAAAAAAAATACTGAATTTCTGGGCTCTAAAAGCTGGTTTGATGGAATCGATCATAGCAAATTATTTCACGTGTATGGACTTCAGTAACACAAGGAACATGATCAGGAGAACTGACAAAAAGAAAAGCGAAACATGCATTATTTTACACATAGAATCTTCGTATAAGGTAGAATTTCCGATGTTAGTGGAAGTAGATTCAAT